CTTTTGAATGGGAAGAAATAGGACTTTATATTATACATGTCTATTACTCGTGACAAGACCTTTCTAAATACACTACAATTTTTTACCCCCTTACCTCGACCTTGACGTTTGACCTATTACCAGTGAAAATCCTTTCTTACTATGAATTTTGACCTCATGACCTTGACCTTGAAATTTAACCTACTTTTCAAAAATGTTCCTTAGAAGGGGGCTACTGTATTTGACAGGTGCATTACCCTATTTCCGAGCATGCTATGATTTCTGACTTCTTGATCTGAACCTCCATGTTTGACCTAATTTTTTCCAAAACACCCCCCAACAATTTTGGTGATAACTCTTGAATGACATAATATGAAAGGGCGTTCATCATATTTGACACAACATACTAGTAAATAATGACATATTACCCACAGACACCAAAAGCGGGGGACCACAATTCTTTGAATTTGCTTGTTTACAAAGATTTGCGATAGTTTTTGTCAAAACTTGAACACTAACTTCAGAATCTGCATACCTGCAGATTTCTGCTTGTGCTTACCTACTTTAGAGTATTTACCACCCTTTGGTCTGTATTTTGGAGAAATATATATATTACTTAATTTCTCCATTTGATGGCAATGAGGACATCTTCACTCGTGAAGCTTTACATGTTAAAAGTAGTGGAAAATCAAGTGAGCTATCATTTAAATCTAGTTTACCCGACACTGTGTATTAAGTAAAATGATTCAGTTATATTTTTATTCTTTTTGTCATCACCCCTCATTCTCATGTGTGTTACTTAAACATAGCAAATACATAACCATCACCTGGGACAGTTTATTAGTTAACAATAAGAGAAAGTGTTTTAAGTAGAATAAATTCCCAAAAATGTCCATTTTGTGAGAGAAAAAAAAACTTATTCTCAGGCCTTAGAGCCTTGAACAGTTCTTTCTCTCAGAGAATGGACAGTTTTCATACTTTCTCCTTTCTTTAAGCATTGAGCACTGTGTATAACCCCACATACGCGAGCGCGGAATGGAGACATGCGGGTTGCGTATTCGAAGCGGAATTTGCAAGATATGGGCGGAGGCAAATTGAAAGGGGGGCTAATCAAAAGTAAGGGGGGGGGGGCTAAACCAACAAAAAAAGATAAATCTCAATTTTCAATGCCTATATAATGTCTATTTTTGCAAAAAAAGTGGGGGCTAGCCCTAGTCCTAACCCTAGCCATAAACCTAACTCTAGCCTTAACCCTAACCATAACCCTGAACTTAACCCTAACCCTAGCCAAAACCCTAACGCTAGCCATAACCCTAACCCTAGCCCTAACCCTGACCTTAACCCTAACCCTAGCTTTAACCCTAACCCTAGCCATAACCCTAACTCTAGCCATAACCCTAACCCTAGCCGTAACCTAACCCTAGTCTTTACCCTAACACCTTTCCATTGACCCTCGTCATAACACCTAGCCATAACCCTAACTCTAGCCTTAACCCTAACCCTAGCCATAATCTTGACCTTAACCCTAACCCTAGCCATAACCCTAACTCTAGCCATAACCCTAACCCTAGCCATAAACCCTAACCCTAGCCATAACCCTAACTCTAGCCATAACCCTAACCCTAGCCATAACCCTGACCTTAACCCTAATTCTAGCCATAACCCTAACCCTAGCGGTAACCTAACCCTAGTCTTTACCCTAACACCTTTCCCTTGACCCTCGTCATAACACCTAGCCATAACCCTAACTCTAGCCTTAACCCTAACCCTAGCCATAATCTTGAACTTAACCCTAACCCTAGCCATAACCCTAACTCTAGCCATAACCCTAACCCTAGCCATAACTTAACCCTAGCCGTAATCTAACCCTAGTCTTAACCCTAACACCTTTCCCTTAACCCTCGTCATAACCCTAACCCTAGCCATAACCCTAACTTTAGTCATAACCCTTAACCCAACATCTAGCCGTAACCCTAACACTAGCCTTAACCCTGACCTTAACCCTAACCCTAACCTTAGCCTTAACCCTTGCCATAACCCTAACCCTAGCCTTGACCCTAACCCTAGGAAATAGATCTGATCTCATGTCAATTTTTATTTTAATAACAAAATATACCCTCTACCTAATAATATACAAGGTACTAGGGATGATCAAAAAGTTAGTGGACTTGTTTTTTCTATCTATAGAATAAACCACAAATCGTACGTTTAAATTTTTCATAAATTAGTAATGACTTTGTAAGCAATTTGTGTCCAGTTGTCAACTTTAACCTTCGCCGTAACTTTTGAACCCGAGTGTAAGTGAGATAAACCTCTTTTTTACTTTTTATATGAGGACTTGACACACAAAAATACCGTTAATTCAGGCATGTAATGAAATACAATTGTTCCGCAAAAATATGCAATTTTTACTTCATTCTGTAATTTCTATCTTTTGTGGTATATTTATAAGGTGTGTCCATAGGCACTTGTTTCGGAAAGAAATTTTTTAACCCATGATATATTAATAACACAGAAAATGTACTTCGATATTAGAATGAAAAAAAAAGAAAAGAAATGCAAAATGGAAAAAATAAAACACTTCTTGTAAATATACCTTGTAAAATATTAACAATTAATGATCACTTTAATTAAGTTTATCGAGATTTTTTTGGGGAAAATTAAGATGAATGTTCTTATATCAATTATGCTGTACATTATTGTTTTGGGATCTTTACTACAGTACTACTACTAATTTTTTAAATTTTTAAAAATAAATATATTTGGGGGGGGGGTTACCACTTTCACAAAGCACAGATTCCAGTATTCAAATTCATAGCCAAATTTAAAGTTTAAAATACTAGTATTTTGAAAAAAGTGTGTCAGACTCCAATGTCAAAATCAAGAGGTCAAATCGTGGTACCCGAAAAAAGGAATGCACCTGTGCAAGTTCAAGTTTTTGCGGACTAACGGACGAAATGGGACAAAAACTATATAGAAAAAAAAATAGTAGCTATGGATATTCCAAAATGTTATGGTTCTATATTTGTGCATGTTAGATTTGATTCCTGCAAGGATATTTATACAGGTGTGTAAGTTGAATATAGAAATTTTTAACCCATATATGACAGCCATAAAAAATATATTGTCTGTCAACGGCTTATTAAAAAATGCTTATAAATGGTAAAAATAAAACAGTTCCGATTCATAATACGCCTGTTTGAATGCAACACCACGTGGCATCGGGGGGGGGGGGTCGCGGACCTTCTCTTTTTTCGCAAAGAACTTTTACAATATTAAAAACGTTCATTGAAAAACCAACTGCCCCTCCCCAAATTTTTGCTGCAGTATAGTAAAATTAGGGTAATGTTGTCAATTTTGATATTGTAATATTTTTATTGTCCTCGGGTCTATGCAAGCTTCAAGGAAACAAAATATGCACTATCAATCAGCAGTGGCAGTTGGCAATGAGCAAGCAGTTGGCACTATATGGGGGATCATACGTACTGATTATTATCTATACACAGAAGCAGTGCGTTATCGTTCGTTGACCAAAGTTGATCCTGACAAATACCATGGGTTTTCCTGGACGTAGTAGCGAACGTTTTCAACAGCAGCTCAATTTCACTGTCTTTAAAGATTTGTATTCTAAGGCTTAAAACTTAATTTTTGTTATCTAATAATGTGTAAACAGAAAAAGATATATATTTGGAACTGAGAGGCTAAGATTATTGAATTTCGAATGAAATGTTCGTTTTCTTGTCGTTTGGATGTATGTATAATTGAGCTACCTGTCTTTATATTCAACCAATTAACACAACATGGGAATGTTTGTTGGAATAAATCTTTTTGGGTAAAACACCTTAATTTAAGGAGCCGACTGATTTTCAAAACAAACTAAAATCATGCTAGCTTTTAAAATCTTCCTATGTGAGTACAGATTTGAGCCAAATATTTTTCTCTCTTAGTAAACGATCAAATCTTTTTGTATCATTTTGTATCTTTATATGACTATTTAACAATATGTGAAAATAAGAAAAATTTAATAAAGCATATAAATTAACTATTATATCCTACAAATTTACGGATTGAAACATATGGAGATAACGAACAGCACTCAAGATCAAAAGTCCATTTCAAAAAATACAAAACAGGAGCAGAGCAAACATGGACCTCCCAAACATCAGGGTTGGGATCAGGTACCATGAAGGAGTGAGCATCTGCTGCCGATCGGTCACACCCGTCGTGTGCTTGATCCTTGTCATGCTCGGAAAAATTTGTCGTCAATTCAGTGTATAAATAATGGGCAAACAATTAGTATGAAAAACGTCAGTCAGCATTTGACTCAGTGATAAATTGTATTTGCTGACAATTAAACGAGACTGCTGAAATTCTTGTTTCATCAACTTGTTTGTCAATAATTTACCTTGTTCTAGAAATTGTTCATACGTAGAGCATGTTCTTGGGTATCGAATCAACTGACTCAGAGACATCAAAACTCCATATAAAGGCGATGAAGGTATATTGCTGCATAAGTAAGGGAAGTTGACGATTGAAAAGTTAAAGTCATCATGTTTATCACAGAGCTTGGTTGTTAGATCATATAATGTTTTTTTCATGTAAAATATGTAAATATGAAACAGATGTGTCAGACTCTGTGGTTTCTTTTGGAAATATAGATTTCAACTTAGCATGTTTGGCAACAGTATTATTTTATTTTCAATGCCACAGTAAAGGGAAAAGAGAATGACCTTGATTCGACCTTGCCTTATATAAAACGGTCAAATTTAATTTAACTCATCACTTAGTGATACTGTCTTCTTCAATCAATGGGAATTTCTTTAATTTCTAAAAACAAGAAATATGAGAAGAATCCCTCCTTAATGCAGTCTAAATAAATTCAGTTGAATTTCTTGGACTGCAAATCTTGATGTTAACAAATTTTGACAAAGCCCCTGGAATGCTAAGCCACAAACCTTCATCTCATCCTTAAATGTACTAGTAAACATAATTGGCATGTTGGGAATACAGAATAAACTAAATGACTGTAAGACAATTTTATTTGACCTGAAATCATGAAACAGACAAACGCTAACAAATGCATATTCCAGCAATTTTTTTCCCAATTGCTACTTAAACTATTTTTCATATAGATTTCCCCATCAAAGATTGCAATAAACGTCAAAACATATTGGCAATAAAGTGCACAAAGAAACAGTCTGCTAACGCTGGACGAACTTTCTGTACTTTAAGTCAATGAATGAAGTCTGGGCTCTCTTCTCTAAATCTGCTAGCTCTTTCACGGCAGGTGCTAAGGATGCTGCATGTCCAATATAAGTTCCACCTTCAAAACAAAAGTTGGATTTCTTGGTCAAACCTTGTGCAATTAAAATGAATTGCGCAAATAAAAATTAAATGTCGGTTTGATTCCTAAGATTCATTGTACCTCAATATTCTCTTTGAAATGAAATAGTTTTCTGGAAAAAACAAGTCTGATTTTTTTGTTCTCACTGAAATTGTGGGGCGAAATTGACATGAATTGCCTTTGAACTTCACAAGTTTATAAAGGAATTAATAAACATTTATCCAAGTTATAGTTACCTCCCTTCATCATATGGTCAAACAACCTTAATTAAGGTTCATCATTCCCTATCAATCAAATGCTGTTTTGCTGTGTCATATCTAATGTTTATTGTTTTCCAATTGCAATGTACACAAATTAAGCAAATCATGCAGTCAAAATTTGACAGGCATTATAACCCTTAATATGACAATTCATAAAAGAATGATAAACAGTGAAATTCTACTTTTTCAGAAGGGCAAATGCATTTTTGCACAATAATAATGCCCCTTAATTAGGTTTAATCTGGGGACAGTCTGTACAGTTCACCTCTACATCTGATAAAAATCACAAATTTGAGGAAAATAAAGATAGATTTCCTGTTCCTCCCTGACCTTTGCAGTAAAACCCATATAACCAGGATGCTGTGTATTTCTAAATTTTGTCTTGTGATATCCAAGTTCCTTTAGTCATTTCATAGATTAAACTGCTGTCTCATTCAGAATGCTGTTTTATACTTTATTTAATTACATGTAATAAGAAATTGATTTAAATGCAATTGTAAAACGAGTTCATATAAGTCAAGTTTATACTTATAAAATATTAAGTTTAGCCAGTGATAAATTTTATCTTGTATGAATCAGCAGTTTACCTTTAAAAGATCAATGGGTACACAATCAAAATATCTCAGTCTAGCATTAAATGACATGATGTATTTTCACAGAAACTTGATGATGGTAATGACTATAAAAACAACTCTATCAAAGGAGTCAAGTATCAAATGAGAAAAGACACTGTCTGATAAAAAGTGATATATCAAATGATATTAAATCCTATTACTGATTTGATTTCACACATAAATAAAGATTACCTAGCAAGTACATTTTTTTCTATCTCACATAACTGCAATGAAAGGGTCACATGCATGACAATAGCTTTTTCAAAAATTATATTGAATTTCTTTCAGATGACCAGCGAGTTTTCAATGGGTTTTTATACATAACACGTCTACCAGAGACTTTTTGTCTGGATTTATGTTTACTTTATAGTAAACTGCTGATACATAGAACTTAGTTCAACTGTTGTGTGAATTTTCTGTTGATGAAATTATTGAAGTCTGAAGTATATGACCATAGAGAATTGAATGTAAATGAACTTTGAATAGAGGTATATTTAATGAAATGTCCATCTGTCGTTAACACTGTTCCTCTTTCCAATCTATCAGCATGAAGTTAAGAAGTTAAATGGTTAATTTCAAGATTCAATACTGTAAAACGAGAAAATTTGGTGCATACGTATTTTAGCGCAAACGCAAGTGGGAATGCATTGGCGCAAATAAATTTTAGCGCTTGCGCTTGTCAGTAAAATATGTAAATGTGATATTGTTTGTCAAGCACGGAAACACAATAGCACTCCCGTATATCAGTAAACATTCGTTACGTTTACTGCTGTACATGTTGCTATCACATGGACGTGGTACAATGTTAAAATTTATTTTATTTCTATTTTCAATTAAAAGAAATGGAGTATTAACTCATTTAAATCGTATAAAAACATTGCATGCATCGACAGAAAATTACTAATAGATAAAACGGTAATCCTAATAATGTATTGTCTGCAAGCTCAATCACCATGCTTGATTGCATTGTTTACCTCGAGGCGATAGGTGATTGACACGCCGAGAAGCCAAACTTTGAAGGTGCTAATGATGACAATCGGGTAACAACTACCGGGGTAACAATAGCTTAATTAAATTATAATTTGGCAGAACTTTCTGCCTTCCGAACACGTGGAGTGCTAATGTGTTTATAAAATCCAATGAACCTTCGACATTACGTAATCGTGCGTTCCGGTTTACATGTACTTATGTAAAAGCTTTGAACACACATAAAAAATGTCAGATATTTCAAAATCCTTTAGCGCACAATAAATTTTAGCGCTCAGGGGCTCTTGCGCCAAGGCGCTAAAATTAGTAGTGCGCCAAATTTTCTCATTTTACAGTATTGGATGCAATGAAATTCATGAATTTTTTTAGTTTGTGGTAAATACCATGAATCAAGAACATTCACATTGCTTTTTTTTCCCATTTTATCACCATATTACAGAGTAATTTTTTGGGGGGTGCCAAATTCCAGAATTTGCAGAATGATGAAAAAATGGCATTTTTTACAGAACAATTTTGTCATACACCATAAGTGAATAATGAGTTCATTGGATTAAAAAAATGCTCTTTTCAAATCTTGCTCTACAAGATTATATCAGGTAAAATTATGTGGTATTTGAGCTTATGGCTGCCTCATCATAAAAATTCATTGTTGTACATTGCACCTCAGTTTTATTTTTCTGGCATACACTTTTTGATCAGATTTGTAATATTGAAGTAGAATTTTAAAACACTTCCTTTTGAAAGACTCAAATACAATTTCATTTTTAAAAACTGCAAACAATACAAAAGTAAAACCCCACTCACCAGTATTCTTGCGTTTTTGACCGTAGGTCACTTTGCCATCAAACTCGTTGACAGGAACTTTCATACTTGGATCCACCTTGTCAATAGTGATATCTAGATGTTCTTGTACATCCTCAAGTAACTACAAACAAACAATCATTAGTGATATCTAGATGTTCCTGACATCTAGTAACTACAACAAACAGTCAATAGTGATATCTAGATGTTCCTGTACATCCTCCAGTTACTATCAACAAACAATCAATAGTGATATCTAGATGTTCCTGTACATCCTCAAGTAACTACAAACAAACAATCAATAGTGATATCTAGATGCTCCTGTACATACTCCAGTAACTACAAAAAATAAATCAAAAGTGATATCTAGATGTTCCTGTACATCCTCTAGTAACTACAAACAAACAATCATTAGTGATATCTAGATGTTCCTGTACATCCTCTAGTAACTACAAAAAAACAATCATGAGTGATATCTAGATGTTCCTGTTCATCCTCTAGTAACTACAAACAAAAAATCATTAGTGATATCTAGATGTTCCTGTATATCCTTTAGTTACTACAAGCAAACAATCATTAGTGATATCTAGATGTTCCTGTATATCCTTTAGTTACTACAAGCAAACAATCATTAGTGATATCTAGATGTTCCTGACATCTAGTAACTACAACAAACAGTCAATAGTGATATCTAGATGTTCCTGTACATCCTCCAGTTACTATCAACAAACAATCAATAGTGATATCTAGATGTTCCTGTACATCCTCTAGTAACTACAAAAAAACAATCATTAGTGATATCTAGATGTTCCTGTACATCCTCCAGTAACTACAAACAAACAATCACTAGTGATATCTAGATGTTCTTGTGCATCCTCCAGTAATTACAAACAAACAGTCAAAAGTGATATCTAGATGTTCCTGTACATCCTCCAGTAACTACAAACAGTCAAAAGTGATATCTAGATGTTCCTGTACATCCTCCAGTAACTACAAACAAACAATAGTGATATCTTGATGTTCCTGTACATCCTCTAGTATCTACAAACAAACAATCAATAGTGATATCTAGATGTTCCTGACATCTTCTAGTAACTAGAAACAAACAATCAAATGTGATATCTAGATGTTCCTGTTCATCCTCTAGTAACTACAAACAAACAATCATTAGTGATATCTAGATGTTCCTGTATATCCTTTAGTTACTACAAGCAAACAATCAATAGTGATATCTAGATGTTCCTGACATCTAGTAACTACAACAAACAGTCAATAGTGATATCTAGATGTTCCTGTACATCCTCTAGTTACTATCAACAAACAATCAATAGTGATATCTAGATGTTCCTGTACATCCTCCAGTAACTACAAAAAAAACCAATCAATAGTGATATCTAGATGTTCCTGTACGTCCTCTAGTAACTACAAAAAAACAATCAATAGTGATATCTAGATGTTCCTGTACATACTCCAGTAACTACAAAAAAAAACAATCAATAGTGATATCTAGATGTTCCTGTACATCCTCAAGTAACTACAAACAAACAATCAATAGTGATATCTAGATGCTCCTGTACATACTCCAGTAACTACAAAAAATAAATCAAAAGTGATATCTAGATGTTCCTGTACATCCTCTAGTAACTACAAACAAACAATCATTAGTGATATCTAGATGTTCCTGTACATCCTCTAGTAACTACAAAAAAACAATCATGAGTGATATCTAGATGTTCTTGTTCATCCTCCAGTAACTACAAACAAAAAATCATTAGTGATATCTAGATGTTCCTGTATATCCTTTAGTTACTACAAGCAAACAATCATTAGTGATATCTAGATGTTCCTGTATATCCTTTAGTTACTACAAGCAAACAATCATTAGTGATATCTAGATGTTCCTGACATCTAGTAACTACAACAAACAGTCAATAGTGATATCTAGATGTTCCTGTACATCCTCCAGTTACTATCAACAAACAATCAATAGTGATATCTAGATGTTCCTGTACATCCTCTAGTAACTACAAAAAAACAATCATTAGTGATATCTAGATGTTCCTGTACATCCTCTAGTAACTACAAACAAACAATCACTAGTGATTTCTAGATGTTCTTGTGCATCCTCCAGTAATTACAAACAAACAGTCAAAATGATATCTAGATGTTCCTGTACATCCTCCAGTAACTACAAACAGTCAAAAGTGATATCTAGATGTTCTTGTACATCCTCCAGTAACTACAAACAAACAATAGTGATATCTTGATGTTCCTGTACATCTTCTAGTATCTACAAACAAACAATCAATAGTGATATCTAGATGTTCCTGACATCTTCTAGTAACTAGAAACAAACAATCAAATGTGATATCTAGATGTTCCTGTTCATCCTCTAGTAACTACAAACAAACAATCATTAGTGATATCTAGATGTTCCTGTATATCCATTAGTTACTACAAGCAAACAATCAATAGTGATATCTAGATGTTCCTGACATCTAGTAACTACAACAAACAGTCAATAGTGATATCTAGATGTTCCTGTACATCCTCTAGTTATTATCAACAAACAATCAATAGTGATATCTAGATGTTCCTGTACATCCTCCAGTAACTACAAAAAAAAACCAATCAATAGTGATATCTAGATGTTCCTGTACGTCCTCTAGTAACTACAAACAAACAATCAATAGTGATATCTAGATGTTCCTGTACATCCTCTAGTAACTACAAACAAACAATCAATAGTGATATCTAGATGTTCCTGTACATCCTCTAGTAACTACAAACAAACAATCAATCGTGATATCTAGATGTTCCTGTACATCCTCTAGAAACTACAAACAAACAATAAATAGTGATATCTACATAAGTATCAGTTACTGAATTTGCAAAATTACATATTCTTAAACTTGGATGAATTGTTCACTGCTTTTAAAAATTGTAAGATGAATAACAGGAAGAAGAAATTGTGACAACAAGACAGATGGACTGGAATAACAAAAAAATATGCCTTGCAATTACTTTTTGTATAAGGGATAATTTTATTGTTTTCAGGGTACAGAGAGACCCATCAATTTGTGTCCTTTATGAAAATTTAAGCGAATCACCACATTTCTTCCACTGTGAAATCAAATCCCCACACACCAATTTTTTCCATAAACCACAGAAATTTGACCCCTTAAAAATATGCGATTTTTAACAGTACCCAAACTCTCTTTTAGAAACTGCAGGTAAAAAAACAATCCAACAGGCAACCAAACAACCAGGGTAATGACTTCTTGTCCATAGTGACAACTACATTTTTTTTATTCATCCTATAGTATATACCGGTATTTGTAACTATACAAACAAAAAACATCAAAGAGTTGGCAGATTACTAAGAGTGATGACCTGTCTTATCAATGGGCTTAAAATGAATGAATCAAAAGCTCCTGTCAATGGTGTGACAGTCAAAACACCCATTCTCTACTTTGCTATTTGACTAAAGGGTGAGGTTATTTTCCCATCATGCGACAGCCTGAAGAGCGGATAGAGCATACCATGGTTTCATTATTATTCGTGGAGCACCAATTTTCGTGGATTTCGTTGTCAAGTCGATCCCCGAAATCAAATGTTCATCGAAGTTTGGTGCCTCCATTTTGATAAATCTTTAAAAAGCCCATTCCAGCTTTCAATAATATATATTAAATATCCCCCTTTCTTAATAGATTGACTTTAAAGACGTATTATATCATTTTAAGAATATTAAAAAAAAAAAAAAAGGAATTATAATAAGAAATAATTTTACATAATTATCTCAACTTTTTGAGTAAAAATGTTTTAATATTCTGCACAGAGATAAGGCCATAATAAAAATATTCCTAGATTCTCATCCCCGCCCGCCCCGATTTTATACCCCCGCCTCGTTTTTTTTATATTTCTGTTTTTCTTCGTCGTAATTCTGATCGGGATCGGTATTCATCTACCACTCTACTTTCGTTTTAAATCCCGCGAAAGTCGACATGATTTTGACAGCTGAAAAGATGGTAATTGCTGTAATACATGCGTATATATTCTAAACAAGAGTCATTGCTTAAAAAAAATTGGTGATGATGTGAAGTAAGAGATAGCTGAACATTTACTATAACCTTTATTCGGGTATTGTAGATAAAATTACACCGATTGACCAAGTCAATAAAAAATCTGCAAAATTGAAAAAAAAAAAAAATATAAAATAAAAGCCGCCCGCCCGCCTCGACTTTTAAAAAAATTGGGATGAGAATCTAGCAATTTATTTATTATGGCCTAAACAAACAACACGTAGATCTGTCAATGCAATGCATTTAGCAATCTGCGGATATCCCTAAAGGATGGTCATTAGGCGTAAATGTTTTAAATTTTTTTTCTCGAACAACTTAAGTGTCCAATCCCAAAGAAACGAGAGAAAAAATGAAAAGATGATAGACAATTTTTAGACGGCGTCACGTGACCCCGTCAGTTAGTTTACTGTCAGAGCCCTCAAAACGGAAACCGTGGTGATAACACATGAATTAAATCTAAGCATATGAAAGAGTGTGCAGAAATTGTTGTGATCAAAATATAAACATTATGTATCAAACTGAAGAAAATGATATGAACTTTTTTCTAAATCAAATTAATGAAGCATTTTGTAAATGTAAACTCAAAATATTGATTGTAAAACACACTAGTAAACAAAGTACTCTCCTGCGTAGTATTACGACTGTGTACGCATCATCCATTGTTTACTTCTGGAAGGATATTAATTCAGACCAGGTGAAATTCGGACAGTTCAAAAAGGTTTCAAGACTTGGCAATTATTGAAATTTCCACTTCAAATTAATTAAATGAAAAACGCAAATTTATATTATTCACAGTTTGTTTTTAGTATGTTGATTAAAAAAAATATTAAAACTCGTAAAAAAAAATATCACATTTGTGATATCTAGCATGAAAATTATTTTGACCCCGTCTTTCAGTACTGTCTCAGTACTTTGATTTTTCTGTTAGGACCATTATCCAAGAATTAACGTATCTTAGAAACTGTGAATTTTACTAAATCCACAAAAATTGATGCCCACAAATATTAATGAAACCACAGTATATGGGTGTGAGGGTGTGTAGGTTTGTTTGTGTTAAGCTTGTGAGAGAACTTTTAAGTCACCAAACTTTAATTTTTTCCTTATTGTAATAATTAATTTTTTCTTATTTTTGCAAATTGGTGACCTAGGAGCTACAAATCTTCTCTGCTTGAGAAAATTTGGACAGATAAAGCAGACAGCTATCCAGATCTAAGCATAAAATCCTTTGATTTACGTTGTCGCTTTTTTTGTCCTCACTTGGATATCATTTCTTGGTGTTTATTTCCTTCTCTGTATGATAGTATCCAATATTTACTCTTATTCCTGATACCTTACCTTATTTACTTATCTGTCCAAATTTTCTTAAGCAGAGAGCTGGAGTTCTGCAGCTAGGGACCTGAGTAATTATCACTCCAATTTCATGTGGTACATTGTAGCATAACAATATAAAAATTAACTTGCAAATTCTGGATGTATGGAACATTGTCATCTATGCAAATATTTCTTGTAAAATGGTGAGCAAATATGCAAGAATATGTACTGTCAAGGAATTGGCAATTTGATAACATTTCTCAGAACATCCCAGTGTCATATAAATTCAATATTATAATGAAGAAAATTCTTGAAAGCAAGTGGCATTTTATAAGCATTAATAAGACTCATCCTTGAGAATATTATCATTCTCTTTCCAAACAATACTGCTTATTTGCACAAAATGTGAGACTTGCTGCTACATGCAATGATTGCCAAGGGTAGATGACTAATTTGAAAGCTTATGAAATGGTTTCAGATGAGGTGTGAAAGAGGCTTTAAATAGCTACATAAAAATTACCACAAAACTGATTAGTCTGCCTGCTAACTGAAGTTGATATGATGACATTGGTGTGTGTAATTCTTACCTTAGGTTCATCATACCAGATACAGCATCCCCCGTGGTCTGTCAGGTTTGTGTTGTAACAACCCCTCCCTCTCGTGTTACAGTTAGAGTGGTACCATACCTAGTCAATAAAAATGTCAATTTTAATAATCACAAGACTGCAGCAAATTTCTTCCTAATACTGTATACATGGAAATTTTTGCCCCTTTTGCCCTTCTCACAAGTGGGCAAATTTAGATCGGGGCGAATTCAAAGAACAAAGTATTAAATATTTCTTGAACAGAACTGTAACTGGGCAAATTTTAAATGGGGCAAAATTGTTAGCAGGTGTAAAAAGGTGAAAATAACCCTGTATACAGTATACATAAATAATAGACTTTCTGCACTATATGACAGTGGATGTAATTCTAGAGCAATTTTAATTTGATACATGTAATTATAACCAAATGATGCAACCCTCAGCACCACTGTGATACTTTTTTAAAATAAACTACCTATGAGGAAACATCAGATTAAGTTGTCGCAAATGCACAGCTAGATATGGGTTCATCTTCATGAAATGTAACTTGAACTTAGATTTCTGATGAAGTCAGTGAAATTATTTACGTCAAACGATGTAAGCGATATAGGTTTTTGTTGCAAGCAAGAAAAGTCATATAAAGTACACCCCCCCTTTGCCCAACAAGCACAACCATACAAATTAATTGTGAAGAGTCATGATTTAATATCTATTTTAGAACGTACACTATCCTCTCAATGAACCTAGGTATGAAATGACAAATCAAACTTGTTCATAAAACTGAGGTGGGAAGCAATAACTTTAGATTGCTATGAACAAAATTATTTCTATTTTTATATATTAATGTCTACTGACATCACTAAGGTGAAAGTCCCAGATTTATATACTTAAGCAGGATTTACCTAATTCTAATGAGATTGATTTTTTTTCATATTAAAATTTCATATGGATTTCCCTCTGTATAAATGCTATTCCATGTAACTTTTGACCATCTTTTACGCTCCTCTAATTATAGAGGGTGGCTGTATGATTCAAACAGACTTGAATTTACACCACAAGGGAATGGTTTTCCCAGGGAGGCAGGGATTCTTAAGAAGATTTTTAAATAACACCCTCAATTCCCAGATTTTTTAAAATTACTTCCCTTTTAAACAAGGCATGTCCATTTATTTTAATCACTATTCTATCAAGCTTTATCATTATCCCAAGGACATTTTAATTTGTTCAAACGGTTAGACTCTCTTAGTGATTCTGGATAAAAAGTTTAAAAAAATCAAATAAACCTGAAAAGCTTACTGAAGACAAAAGATGTTTGTGAAACACTTAACCCCCCCCCCCCCCATACATGAAAAGAAAATGAATGGAAACTGCAAATAATGGTAATTGAAATTTTTCTGAGTTCAAGGGGCATGACTCTGTCAAAAATTGCTCAATCTTAGCCAAAATACAACCTGACCTGGATATTCTTACAATAAATCTTTACACCAAATTCCATTTAAGAAATAAACAGCAATCTTACAAAGTTCTCTGGGAAATGAACTTAGTTGGTCACATGATCAAATCCTGTGAAGCCCTATGGGCTTTTCAGAAGATTTGATCACGACTTCACTAAGTTCATTTCCCAGCGAACTTTTTAACATAGTTGTTTATCACTTTTATTTACATTTGAGATGGATAAATTCCAAATAAAAATGCATTTATTACACAAACGGTCCGTCGTATTGTTACGTTGTGACGTGTAATGACCTATAAGCTGTTTGATCTTGAAAGTTCGTCTCACTACAACATTTGAATATTTACAATGATGTTAGTTCAGGAATTCCTTGTTTATAATGTAAGAACAGTGACCCCTACTGAGAATAATCTTAACTATTTTATGCGTTCTTAATATTTGAAGTCAAAATCTGTGATATCTCCTGTTTTAGTTTAAATTCAAATAATTTCAGGTTAAAAAGGTAAGTGTGATTTTAGGTTTAAAATTATAGTATTTAAGACATTCTTCACACCAAAGAAAAATTTATTAAATATCTGTTGAATGAAAAATATCTATAGATTTCAATTAATTTATCTTTTTCATCGCTTTTAACTTGGTAGTTCCGAAACCATACAGAAATATATGTAATCAAGTTATTTTCTTGCCACGTGGTTCGAACATGCTATGACCTCTGACCCTCAAATAAGCACATACAGAATTGAACATGTTTTCTCTTTAATAGGTTCATCTGAGAAAAATATTTGCAAATGTGAATATTTCAGCATGTGCAACCTATGCGAAGAAAATGAATGGAACTTGTTTGTGGAACAACAGACAGCAAGATAAACAACAGACAGACAGAGAACTTATTTTTGACCTTTTTTATGAGGAATTTTTAAAGTTTAAGTATTAAACTGTATAATGAACATAGTTGAATATAAGTGATTCAATCATTTAAAAGATCGAAGCTGAAGTTTACATATTTACAACAGTCAGCAGTATATATCTTACCTTCTCTTTCACTGTAGAGACTAGAGATATTGCAAGACCCATTCTATAAAATAAAAGAAAGCAGACAAGTTATCACATGAAACATAAAAAAAATTATGACCAAGGTTTTAAAATGCTAAGTTAAAGAACCACGAACGATAGTATTGTTCTCCCGCCTACCTCTAAGTCAATTCTCAAAAGTTAACATATTCGAATGATTTTCGATATTTTTATAGATATTTATATTAATTTTCATAAAACGTTACTTGTTTGGGATATCAAAGAGAGATTATTCTATAATTTTGGTTAAACTTGTGTTTTTCACTATAGAAATCAAAGGAAAACAGAAAATATTTTTAAAACATCTTTCCCCCCCCCCCCCCCCCCCGTGAAACAAAAATTCCTTTTTACAGGTAATATGGACTCTCAATTTACAAATTCATGCCAAAGCTTTTTGTGTTTCACGGGGGGGAACATATGTTTATAGACAAAAAACGGAAAAAATGTTGATTTTTCACCAACTTTAAAGCTATTTACAACTAAATAATTGAAATTTATTTATCTAAATATGTTTAATTTATTTGCGTAAAACATAATAAAAGATATGAGATACATTTTATGATATTTAAGACTATTTCAAAATATGGCGATTCTTGAAAGTTCGATTTTACCAGAAAATATCGCCTACCCCCCTTTTTTCAAGAGCTGGAATTAATGATAATTTACTATCTAGCGCTGGAAATAAAATGATTAATCAATTACCATAGAACTGTTCTTTGTATTAAACAAAGATTTAATGGCCAATTTGCCACTAAAATTGAATTTAATGGGTGCAAAATGTAGGCGGGAATCAAGAGTTAGAGTTCGTAGTTCTTTTAGACTTAGGCTAAGGTACAGTCAAACTTTCTTAACTCAAATTCAAATGGACTGATATAACATTCAATTTAATAAAATATATGCATGATTCGAGATAAAAAGGTGAAAAAAAAATTTATTGGAATTGACAAAGCACTTCACATATAATTGAGATATCGGTGTTCAAGATAACAATTTTCATGAGATGGTAACTTATATTTAGCAACTTTCAAAAGAACACCTTTTTAAAACCAATTCTTTTTAGTAGATCTATACAGTGGACCTTCAGATATCCGGACGCCAGATATCTGGATGCTTCAGTATCCGGACGATTTTTCATCGGAACGAAATTTTTAAATGCTGTGTTGTCTTGTTTAATTGGTGATTCAGATATCCGGATGCTTCACATATCCGGACAAATGGACTGGGAACCAAAGCGTCCGGATAAATGAGGGTCCACTGTAATTGGCTTAATTTAAGATTAGATTTTAAAACTTTTTTTTTTACTATTCTTGTCAAGTCCAACCCTAAGGAAAATTTAAGCCCTAATAATTCAAACTAAAATGAAATCTGTTTCCAATCTAACCCAGTTTATTTCCATTTTTTATTATTATTATAATACATAATACGATTCCACTTTCATTGACAGATAGATAAAATTATATTAAAACAGTAGATACTGACACAAACTATAAAAACTCTATTAAACAGGCGATTAGATTGATATTAAACTGACAATAGGTTGCTATATTTTTCCTCATAAGATAAAACATAGATAAATTTGGACAAATCTCATCTTTTGTGATGCATCTAACATGACATTGGGCTTGTCTTCAGCAATTATTCTTCTGTATGTATGACAGAAATTGCATTTTAATCCAATCCACAGATCATTCAGTCATGGAAATAGATTTTATTTTGACATCAAATATGCATGAACAAGGTTCTTTTTTTTTTTAAGGCTGGCCATGGTCTTAATGTTAGTTGACGATATGTAACACAAATACTGTCAAACTTTTTTTCAGAAATTGGCAGCATTTCTCAGAGATTAATCTTTTTATTGGTAACTTGAATAATGTTTTATTAATTATAAGATTTTGCATATATAAGGTTAAAAACTCAATTTTGTGTAGAATTATATAGAAAGCAACACAGTATCCTATCACTAAGCACCAAAGAAAACTTATGATTTCTTAATACAAATTCATTATATATGTCATTTCAAATCAAAATCAGTCAAAAAATATTTATTAATCCGTGCATCAATTTTTTTCGTTTACCCTTAAGTTTATTTTAAATTTGTTCATCATGTTTAACAAATAATTTAACATGAAGCAAAAAATTGAAAGAGTAGTTAATTTTCATGACAGTATAGAATTCAAAATAGTATGACAGTAATATAATGATGACTCAAAGACATTAACCCACCTTGGCACAGATAGGCAGATGGTTTAATTAGCAGATTTTACATATATAACATTAGATAAATGTATTATCAAAGTGTTATCTTAATGTAATACAATAACCTTCATCACTTTAATTCACACATTTTTCATGTAGTCCCACCCATACAAATTATGGCAGGATTACATCAAAGCATGATCTATTTAATTGTTTTTATGAAAATTTTAATGAATTTGTGGGCAAAGGTGTAAATAAGCTTTGATATAGAAATTTACACAATGGATGAGGCAGCTGTTTTAAAAAAACAAATTAAAAGGTTCTTGGGCCTTATTGGTCACACAAGTAATACAAGTTTCTAAGGCAGTTATCACTATGGCCTTCTCTGTAACACTCAATTCATGTGACAAAAAGGTTACAGATAGGTGGGTACTAAATAATCATTATCACATTCATCCTTCTCCCAGAAATTAAGGAGTAGAGAAGATATGGTTTGCTGTATATTAACCTACTATATATGCCTTAAAGTTCTTGTCACTAACAAAGAATGTGCCACTTGGTTACCAGAAATACTAATAGATGGCACTTTATTATCCCTTACCTTTCTACTTTTCCAACTCTTCCAATATGATGGATGTACCAGAAATACCAATAGATGTACCAGAAATATCAATAGATGGTACTTTTATCCACCTTACCTTCCTGCTCTTCCAGTCCAATGGATATACCAGAAATATCAATGGATGTGCCAGAAATATCAATAGATGGCACTTTTATCCACCTTACCTTTCTGCTCTTCCAACTCTTCCAATCCGATGGATGTAGTTCTGCTTCTCATCAGGGAGAGTAACATTAATAACTGAAACAGACAGTGTCCATTATAATGATAATTTCAAAAGAAAGAAACCTGTACCAAGTTACAAATTATCAATAATAGTAATACAGTTGCATATTTTTATCCAAGAAATTTTAGGGTGCCCAAGATGATGCTAATGGGATATGATGCTCAGATGAATCAAACTGAAGACCAATATTAACAATCAAAACTTGTTATCTTGAACCAAATGGGACCAAGAAAAAAAACTTTGAAATCTCAAATAAATTCCGATATAAATAAATAAAATGAAACTTCATATAGAAAAAGTGCTCAGGGCATATAATTCGCTTCATCATATCCACGGTATTTGGGATGACAAAGTTCTAGATAATGACTTTCAACTATGTTTCAATTTTCTTTTCAAATTGTACTCTCACATCAACAATCTTTGATGAATCCTTTACCCTTGCAAAACTCACCAAGGTAAAAAAAAAACAATAGGGAAAAATGGTTTATAAAGAATATAACATTGAAAAAAGACAATGTCACTGCATGGTTGTCTTCAGTTTGAAAGGATCAATGACTGAATACAGGTTAGAGACATCAAACATATTAACTTATTTGAACTTAAAACAAATTTAAAAAAAAAACAATAAAACTTAATCTGCCATTGCAGGATTAAATACATGTACTTCATAACGTTTCCCTACCGTATGGTAAACCACTGATGTCAATGCCCCTAGCTGCTACATCTGTACAGATCAGGTACTTCACTTTATTATCCTGTTTGAAAAAAAAATACCATAGGTCTTAATTAATACTGTATTTAATTTCTGAAAAGCTCATGAAGGTATAACGACTTAATATTGTAAAAGTAAAATACTTATAAGAAGTACCAAGGACTGACAATTTTGCTCCATCATTAAATTAATGTTGTTTTTTGCAATATCTGTTACTTTCACAATATATTTTATTTAAAAGTCACAGAAATGGGTCCTAAAGGGCACTAAATCTTGTTCATTTAACTATGGAATGCTGTTTTTACTTTAAGTTAGTAATACCCAAAGTAAAAGCAAACAGGAGGTAAAGAATTATCTTTCCAAATGACATTTTCTCTGAAAACTGTACCTGTGGGTGATATTAAACATAAAATTAACTTTGGACATTCTTATTTTAAGCATACTAAAACAAACATTTTTTTTTTTTTTTTTTTTTTCACAAATATTTCCCATCATCAATACAATGACATGTTTTTTTTTAAAATAATGAATAGCAGTGCCTCAAAGGAACCAATATAAAATCAGATCAAAACCACTGGATTTTCTGACATCCGTATAAATTTGAGTGTAAATTAGCTGTTTACTTTACCCACTGACGAATGTGTCATAATGCATCAAGGTCTATTCAGTTGTGTTGACAAGAGGCCCAGGGCCTTATAGGTCACCTGAGTATCATGCAACAACTTTCCAACAATTGAATTTGGTTTGTGTTTTAAACGAGCCATGAAATTCATAATTTTGAAAGAAGCATCATTGATAATCATAATTATGTGCTTAGCATATTGCTTACTTTGGTTAATCAATACCCAGAGGTATCTGAGGAACAAAGAAAAAATGCATTGCCACTATATAACCAGTAGTACCCCAACCCACAGGAACCACTGACCCTGGGGCAAAAAAATTGTATATTGGTTTCAGAGAAGAAGCTGAAAAAATTTAAATGTCAACGCATGACAGACAAAAACAGATAGGAATAAGTCACCTGAGTGACTCAGGTGACCTTAAAATAAAGGGCAACTTTAATTGTCCCTTGGAAACTGACTTTCAATTCATTCTCGAGATTTATGAAAGCAATATTGAAAATATACAATCGTACATTTTCAAACTAATCTTGTAAAATTTGCTTTATGAAGCCTTATATCACCTTTGAATACAGTGGCTGCAACGTAATTGTTGACAAACCAATCGTGTAGAATCGTTCGCATATCGTGCGTGATCGTTCGTGTAATGTGCGAGATCATGCGTGTATCAGATTCAATCGTTTGCGTTTTTAATCATGCGAGATCGTGCATTTAGAATCGTGTAAATTTCGTTTTGTAAGTTTCAATCGGAATGTTATTTGTAAGATAAGCATTTCCCTTGTTTTTTTAAAATTTATTTATTTAAATCCAAATAAAATGAGTGAAGCGCAATTTACATAATAGAATGCAGAACGAACTAATTATCGCCCGTAAACAAGTTATATAGTAAGTTGTACAATATTAAGTTCTCTTCAAAAAGCGCGGTTAATATTGTGATAAACCGTACTTAGATCTTTAACGCTCTTAATAAAAATCTGATTTTTATTTTTTATTTACAACTAATTGTGGTCAAGATAATTTTGAAATCAATACATCGAAAATAAATATTTGTTTTTACAAATAAATAAACATTTCTCAATGCTTACATAAATATTTAGTCGACAAATATACATGCACACGACATGATTTTTGGGGGTTTTGATTATCTGTGTTTATCTCTTTAGCTTATTTTTAATTAATTAATTTTAAATTTCTGCGAATAAAAAAAGATAAATAATTGACAAGTTCATTTTTAGAGATTCACGGACAGTGAATCAATGAATACATACGGATATAATTTGTAATTTAAGTCATTCCATGCTGCCATTTTTTTTTTTCAATCGTATCCCTGTTTTTGCATAATTATCATGAAATCCAATATTCAATCAAATTATGCGACGCACATACATGTACATCTTCTGATAGAAAAAAACAACAACATTTTCTTAGGTCTGAGAATTACCTTAGAAATAATTATTTATATTCTAAAATATTAAGTCTTACAGGTATTTACCTACATGCAGAAATATCAATATCCGTTTTTTTTCAAAGTCTATGAAATAATATTGATAATTCTTTAAAATCTTAAATTAATATTAAGCCGTATTTCGTTTTGATAATATCGATTCCTAAAGATTTTGAACTATTTTGAGTGAAGAATCGTGCGTTTGCGTTAGCAATCGTGTAAGATCCTGTAACGTGTAGAATTGTGTGCATGAAAGATCGTTCGTGTAACAGGTTTAATCGTGCGTTAATCGTGCGGAATCATTCGTGTAACATGATCATTCATGTAAGTTGTCAACAATAACGTTGCAGCCACTGTATATCGGTCTAAATCTTTGCTCAAAGCAGTGTAGGTGCTATCATGTCGATAAAGCACTGAGTGTTTTTTTCCACATTATGTACACATACACAGTTTTAGAAAGCAGTATACAGAGTGCACAATTATCATGTTGCGTACCCCTCAATACCACAAAAATGTTTTCATGAATGTACATGCAAACGTCAAAGCATTTGTATTGTATTAGAAGCAACTAATAATCATCTAAAACAACCTCAATATTAAAAGTGAGCATGGAGCAGTGTCTTTGGAATATAATCTTTCAATTTCGGCCTTATAAAGTAAAAAAAAAGCACTACGGATTTTCAAGTGACAATTATGTAAATAGTATGCAATAGACACATGAAAACCATGTGTTGCCATCAAATTGTAAAACATGTAGTAGACTTTCATGCTTTGTGACTCATTCAATTCCATATAAGGAATGTGATGTACCTGACCTGTTAATGTAAAGCCCATATTAGCATCTTTTCACAAACAGAGCTGTAAAATATTACAATCAGGGTTGCTTGGAAAATACATTTATAACAAGAAATTTTCCATTTCCCTCATAATTTTTTTTAAATATAGGCCACAGGGCCTCATCAGTCACCTGAGTATAATACAAACTGTAAGGGATCTATAGAAGTTTTTCAATTCAATGATAATGTATGTCACTTTTTATTCGTGAGAACTTTATTTTCGCGTAATTGTGCAAGACAATGTTCTCATGAAACTTTCATTCTCACATATTTAAAGACGTACAACACACTGGGGGAGATAACTCTTGCGATTTCAATTGAACGTTTGACGTGACGTCAAATTTAACGTCAAAAATAAAGCGTCAAAACGACGAGTAAAACGATCCCGATGTATATCAATCATGAAAGAAAATTGAGATATGGGGCTTGGCTGTGATTATGCGTACCATACTCAATCACTAAGTATTTTTTTAATTAATCCGATTAAACTCCGTAAAAAGCAAGACATAAAATAGTTAAATACCATCCCTAAATGTTTATTTCATTTCATTTCATATACAATAAATTGTATTTTTGATCAAAGCGCAGCATTTTTTTTATTTTGAAAATTTTATTTTACATTGCCGAAATTCTCATTATGTACAATTGGCGATATAACATTCCGATTAATGGTCTTCATTACAATTTGTGCATACACGATATAAATATTGTTTTTCTTCTTTAATTAAATAGAACAACAATTTAAATAAACAAAAAAAACTTTTTACAATGTAAAGACGATGTTGTTCTCAGCCCCTTACTGATCAAAGAGGAACAACTCTGAAAATGTAGATGTTTATTTTCCTCCCTTTATTTACGGTTTTCCACAGAATCAGATACATTTACAGCAAGACCTGATAAATCCGAGAATTGAATACTATAGACCTCATATACACAATGTAAGTATAGAATTGAAAAGAGTTGTTCACTTGTACTGAAATTATCTGCATTTATGAATATCCTATTGCAACAAATCGTAACTTTGACTTTCTGTCAACAATGTCGGTTCGCATTTCCTCGAATCAAAACAAAACGTAGCCTATAAGATTTTAAAAAATATCAATGTGCGATTTGATATAAATTGAAATAGATGAAGAGTTTTATGTTTGATATTTTGAAGTTAATGTGGAAGAATACGGAATTTTCATTTTAACTTTAGAAGCGACGACATTGAAAGAAATGCGTACAATATCACGAGGGGTGTATGTGCACCTAATGCAAATGTCGATGTATCCCCACGGCCACATACTGTATCGTTTGAAATAATGACATGAAAGAAACTACAATTATTCCATTTATATCACAGGAGAGTTGAACATACACCATTTCTTATTGAATGAAATTAAAGAAATAAAATTAAAAATCAACATATTGAAGTTCAACAAAACTTGAATTCGTATCCAGGTTTCATGTGATATGGAATGCATAACGCATACGTATATGGACTAAACACTAAAATCTTTCAGTAAATTTTTCCTGATACATATAAAAAGAGTAGTCAATATCTATTCTGCATTCATGAATTTAAAAACGAATGCATACCTCCGGGATTCTTGACAAAATACCAGTATATTTGCACCGTAAACGACGTTTCGTCAAACGATAATGGTCTGCGACGCAAAAAAGGAAGGGTTGGGGGTGATAGGGGTATTCAAAAATTGTCTAAAAATCTACATTTAAATACGCTTTACATATTAGAACTTTTAAATTTTGTAAGTTAATATATTTTTTAAACAAAAGCAATATTCCAATTTAATTATTTTTAATGTGTATTTGTAGATTCATATAACAAAATGATCGACCCCGTCTGTAAGACGTGCGGGAACGTGATTTATTGAGAAAGGGGGAGGGGGGTAATTTTCCACTATTAAATCAAAACTGGTCGTTCAAAAATTATTTAAAAAATTATGAAGATTATTTTTACTATCAGCTACCTAAAGAAAGTTTTTTACAAAAATTAAACGACAGGTTTTTTCACAAAAAAATTTTGAATTTGAAAAATACGCAATTTTCAAGGCTTAGAAAATTCATAGTTTTTCAGTTTAAGGTCTTTAAAAATTGTTTTGATGATATGTATATCAAAAAGATGACTATGTTTTTGTGTTAAATGGTTTAAGGAATAAGCCAATGAAATTTGACATTTATATCTAACCTGGTTTTTTTGAAAATCAAGGTTTAAGTAGTTCATTGATTAAAAATTTTCTCTCCTTGTAAACAACTAAAGGGGGGTAACTTTCGGAAGTTCCTGTCCAAAAACCACTCGAACGATTTTGTCCAAAATATGCATACATGCAGTAGGTATAGTCATGTACTATGTAAACAAAAATAACGAAAATTAAACGACAGGAATTTTTGGAGGTAGGTGTGTTGTACATCCTTAAGTATTCCTTAGGATTATGTAAATCAATATTATCCACATTTCATGAAAATTTTGTCTCACTTTTAAAGAGTTATTGACTATCTCATGAAATTAAGGTGTCCCAAAAATTTAGTGATCTATGGTAGATAAACTGCTTCCCAAAAATTTCAGAAGTCTGCTAAAAATAACCTTGCTCAATGTAACATACAAGCTTTTTATTAAGATCCTAGCAATCTCTTTGGATCATACTTGGTTTGCCCAAGAAGATTGTGAATGCAAAATATACAAATACAATGGACACTTGCTTATACAGATATGTTTTGTCACTCGCCTTGTGCTACAATTAATTACATAAAGAGAATTCTCTAATGCCTATATACAGTAAAACATATTGATATACCTTTAAAAATTTGTTCCTAATACAAATCAATACGAAAAAAGTCTAACATTTCTAATGTTTTGCTGAGCGTGCATAAAAAAAATCGATATTGGACCGCTGAGATGTTGGACTGGTCGAATGAGATGTTGGACTGCTTACGTCACAAAATGGGCAGAGCTTAATCACATTTTCATTCGTTGGTGTTCAAAAGTGATGGACCTGAGGTTACATCACGGAAGACAGTACAAAATACATATATGTCCAAAAACAATAATATGAAAGGTAAAACAAAACATTTATTAACTATGTTCTCGGGCAAAATGCGTTTTGTCTGCCTTTGGCCTAACAGCCTCATTATCATTAATTATTATTATTAATAATGAAGCACCCAGGACGGATGGTTCTGCTTCAATATAAGCTCAATTCATTATATCCATTAAGCTTACAATTCAAAGTCGTGGGGAATGAAATTAACTTCGCTGTAAGCACTCACTTCGTAGGGATGTTCACTATAGGCATGTTTTGCTGTAAATGTACGTACTCTAGACTAGCATATAATACCTATCATATCTGTTTCACGCATTCACACTCCTATTTTCATTACCTTAAACTTCTGTAAATTTGCTTTCCTTTCTTGTGGCTTTCTGTCGCCATGTAAACAAACACACGAGTACTTGCCTGTAAAAGGAAACAACTGATCATGAAGCACGTGTTAAAGCTAACAAACTTATCAGGCCTAATCCTCAATGTGTTAGATATGGATTACCATACAAAGTACTTGTTTATAAAATTGTTAGGCTTTGAAAAATATTATGTTTCAGCTTTCCTGACCAACCCTTGATATAATTAACAGTGCAGACCCTGTTTTTTTCATCCTCTTTTGATAAATTTAAGATCTAAAATATTTCTTTCATTTTTAAGATTTATCAAAATTTCTACAATAAAAGAAAATCACAACAATGCTATACAAAAATATTTCTTTTGCAGGCCTAAATTTTTAAGGCCTGACAGTGACTCCCCCCCCCCCCAACATTTTAATTTTTTTTAAAGTCTTATTATAATATCCTACGTTCATTATCTGCATTATCTACAGGAATATTCAAAAAAAAATTTTTTTTGCTATCTTAAATAAAAAAAATTTAATTGATTCATATTTCATACACAACTTTTGTCCAGTCAAAATTCACTTGTGCGAAGTAAAATTTAATTAGGATAATTAAAGTTAAAAAGAAAGAGGGCGTACAAGGTGTGGACAATCCCCCGCTCTGAGACAAAATGTTTCTTAATTTTCTAAATTCAAAGAAAAGTAATATTTTTCTAAAATCATGTTCTCAGTAATGTCATCTTCAAAACTTTTTATTACTCTATTTTACTGAACGACTTAACATTTGATAATCTTTATTTCAGAGTTGACCCTTAAGCATATTTAGTGGAAAATGGGTTTACTAGAGCTATAAAACATAGGTAATCAAAGATTATGAAGCTCACCTCGATGAATGTTATCAGTTTAGGTAATGCAAATCTCATCATATTTTCTTAACACTTGGTTTTTATTCTGACAACAATATTCAAGCAAGTTCTGTTTAAATAGGTCTTAAAATTCATTGGGGATTGTCCTGTACCAAAAACATTAACCTCATCACTCGTTTGGAAAATGTGGGTCAGATCCAGCATCCAAAGCTAGTTTCGATTAGTCCATCCCTAGATGCATCATCAATACAAGTTTGGTCCGGGTAGGGCTTATAGTTACTTGGAAATGGACCTGCTCCAAAAACTTTAACCTGGTCACTCATCTGAAAAATGTAGATCAGATTAAGCATCCGAAGCAAGTCTGGTAGTGTCCATCCCTAGATGCATCATCCATTCAAGTTTGGTCTGGGTAGGGCTTATAGTTACTTGGGAATGGACCTTCTCCAAAAACTTTAACCTGGTCACTCATCTGGAAAATGTAGGTCACATCCAGCATCCGAAGCAAGTCTGGTAGTGTCCATCCCTAGATGCATCATCCATGCAAGTTTGGTCTGGGTAGGGCTTATAGTTTCTTGGGAATAAACCTTCTCCAAAAACTTTAACCTGGTCACTCATCTGGAAAATGTAGGTCACATCCAGCATCCAAATTAAGTCTGGTAGTGTCCATCCCTACATGCATCATCCTTGCAAGTTTGGTCTGGGTAGGGCTTATAGTTACTTGGGAATGGACCTGCTCCAAAAACTTTAACCTGGTCACTCATCTGGAAAATGTAGGTCACATCCAGCATCCGTAGCAAGATTCAGGTAGTGTCCATCCCTAGATGCATCATCCATGCAAGTTTGGTCCAGGTAGGGCTTATAGTTCCTTGGAAATGGACCTGCTCCTAAAACTTTAAAGGTACTTGGACACAGATTTGAAGTTATTATTTTCTCTATAATATTACGACTTATATATTTTAATAGCATTTCACACAAAAATTAATTAAAAATCTTATTTCGTTTTAAAGATATAGAAATTTCAAATTATTATGCTTGTTTTATTGACATATCGTTGCAAGTGGGTCAAGTCTCCATTCTTCGTGAATGCTTAAATGATGGAAACGTAAATGTGAAATCTATTTCATTTTTCCAAAAAATGTAATCTGAACCCATTCTATATGAGAATCGAGAATTTCTGAAAAAATGTATGCTTCAACAATCACACTGACAGACGTCGATAATGCATATACTTCGTAGCGTAGTGGTTAAAGCAGTTGGTCTTGGACCAAACCCTGCCCCATGGAGAGAGTTCGAATCATATGTGAAGCTTTTTCTTTTTTGTTTTTACATATCTTAAAAACATGGGTGAAAAATAAATTATTAATAAAATATCAAAACAATGAAAAACAGAATTAAATGTTTAAAAGATGATTTATACACAACATGACAAAAGGTAAAGGTTTAGATTTATTAAAATGAACACATCACATAATAAATCAAAAAACACTATAAACCACATAATTTTGAAAAAATTAATATAACTTTTAGAATTGAGAAATGTCTTTTTTCAGAGCGGGGGATTGTCCTCGTCTTGTACGCCTCCATTCTTTAAAGATTCTTTTCTTTAAAGCATCAATTTGCATTCTTTTTACTGAATTTTCCTTTCAGTCAAAACTTAAATTTTTCTGCCAATTCACAGTTCTCACGATTTTTTTTCCCCCAAACTCTGCATCATTTGATTTCTTTTTAAATCCCAAGGCATCTAACTAGTACTAATTAAATTGATCACAGAAGTTCGAATTGAAAAAGTAATTCAAACTAGAGCCGAGCTCGTTGCAAAGCAACGAATAGGTCTTCCGTTGGAGCTACGGAAAGGAAGACGTAACCTTGAGTCTAGGTCAAACAATTCTAAAGTTATGTTAGTAAGCAACCTAAAGGCTTGTTAAGGAAGCAACTTACAATGTTTCGCCAGGAAAAAGACTGTAAAGGAATGCTCTGTGCATGACCTTGAACTTTCTAAATGACCTTGCGACAAGCAATGACAAACTCTTTTATAAAAATACATAATCTGTGTGTTACCAACTGGAAAAGTTTACGTATGTTTTTTAGATATTCTTTTAGTCCATACATGCACCCAAAACATTTTATCTTTAGTGACCTTGAAGTTGAGTCAAGGACATGCCCCACCATGCATTATATCAGCAATGCTTCACTGGTACAAATACGGTTGAGAATTTAAAGTTTCTCTGTCAGTAACATTGACTCGTCCAAAAGACTGGATATGTTCTGCAAATTTTTTTCTGAACATATATCGAATCGAAAGAATTTATTAGGTTCAAAACTATGATTTACATAACGATTTAACTAGAAATATATCTATAGGACATGAATGCCCCGCCGAGTGTTTATTAGTAAATAATGCAACATTAAATCTGTATAAGTGTATGACATTTGTTGAGAATATCTTGAATAGTTTCTTAAAAATTGAAATCTTAAAAATGGATATAGATTAAAAAATTCCCTTCAGATAATGCATATATGCATAAGCTTACATAAAAATATCTGAAATGGTTTCTTTAATACTAAGAAAAATGCAGATTAAAGACAAGTGAGGTCAATGTCACAGGAAAGTGCAAGATCAAAATGTATCAGGATACTAAAGTTTGATAAAAATGTCTTGAATGGATTCTTCAAAACTGAAGGTCGCCCGTGTGGCACAGTGGTTAGAGCATCTGTTCTACACTAAGGTTTGGATAGCTCTCAAAAGTGTGTATCAGCATATGAAGTTGAGTAAAAATATAAATACTTTCTTCAAAACTGAGCTAAATACTAACTGAACTAGTGCTAATTGTAACGGGGACCGTTACAGATGTTCCCCAAACGCTCCCCAACTCCCTTTTGGTGTCATATTCCCTGTAAGCTTCATTAAATAAGACAAACTCTATGCATCTGAGATTTTAACAACATTTACAAAGAGGTGTACAAAAATCATTTAAACTTTAGCATTGCACGGGTGCACATGTGAATGCATTTGCGCCATGACCATATCATCTTGTCTACACAATCTATATTTTTAATACA